GGCATCCACTTCCCTGTGCCCTCATTAAGTGGTACCTGAAATAACTAGCAGGATCATTAAGTGGCTTACCCTAATCCTTCTAAATTGTTAGACTTAATCTAGAATTATGACGATACAACTCCAATTAACTGTCAATAGTTTTTGAACATCCTTTTCTATTGATATGTCTTTTTCCTGTTTATCTGTTAGCCTGCCACAGCCTTGTGACCCAAGGCTTGGAATGGATCAGACCTCCTACTTACTCCCTCCTGCGCACACCATGTCTCCATGGTAACAGCTTGTCAGGCCCTGCTTGGTGCAGGTTCTGAAGACCTCTCATCTGCAGCCTCAGTCCTGCACAGAGTCAGTCTTAATAAGCCAGGCTTCTAAGTAGGAGCTTGTGTTAGGAGCCCCATGTCTCTAGCTGGCAGGGTTTGAAACTGTCCTTAAGCCTCCTTTGGGGTACACCTGAGGTGGCCCCAGTGCCACTGAGTTGCCCTGACCTTCCTCCATTGCTATTCAGGCCAGTGGTAGGGTATCTGTCTGGGATTCCTGCTTCAACCTGAACTCATCATCTCCTTCCAGCAAGTTTTCCTCCTATCATCTTCCTCCAACCATAAAGCTGAGAGCCATTCTGAATATTTCAGGCCCTACCTGTGGCTGATCACCAAGGTCAGTTGGCGCAACTGCTTTGTATCTCTCAGACTCATCTTTCTCTGCATCACTATTGCTTTTGCTATGGTTCAGGCCCACGTCATTTCCTTCTTCAATTACTGCAAGATCCTCCAACCTGGTCCTCCAACTTCCATGTTTGCTTTCCTTGCATCTAATCTCTACATTACAACCAGTGAGAAAGCTTACTAAAAAAGCAGACCTGACATGTCCTTCCCCCACAGAGTCAGCATTTCCCAGCATTACCCTCAGGGTGGATTTCAGACCCACTTGCATGAAACACAAGATTACACCTTTGTAAGTGGACCCCTGCTCATCTCTCCAGGATCATCTCTTGCCCTCTCCCCCTGCATTTTCTTACTTCAGCCACACCAAAACACTTTACTTCTCCAATGAGCCACCTGTCCTCTCTTGCTTTTGTGACTTCTCTGCTGCCTCCTCTACCAGGAGCGTCCTTCCTCCTTCCTTCTGTATAAGCCTTTCACACATTCTTGGGGAAGTTTTCCCAACTCTTGAATCTTAAGTGCCTCTTCTAAGTTCTCCTTGAGCTCCTGTATTTACTCCCTTTCTGCCTTTCTACTGAACTCTCAACTCCCCAAGGGGAGTGTGCCAACCTCTATCTCAGTGCCTAGCATATTCACTCAAAAGTGAAAGAATGAAGAATAAGCCTCTGGCATGAAAATATCACCACGTGCTGATTATAAGTACATCCTTTCCCAGAGTCTTCTGTTATTGGGCACCATTCATCCACCAGACAGGATCAGCTAGAAATTTGATACACCGCCAACACATTGCAATTTGGACTGCTGGTCACTGTCCTTGGAGACACTTCTACAAATGGGTCAGTTGCCCCAGCTCAGCTCTGGCTAGTCCTGGTTGCCTCCTTTTTGTTGGTCACAGGGAGGTCCTTGCTGGCCTCGTGGCTGAACCCATGTGGCTTCCATCAGTAGCTGGAGAGCCATTCCTAAGAGCTGAGATAGTGAGTCAGTCCTTCTTTCATTGCCCAGGGAAGATTCCTTTCTCACTGGTTATGCAATGTCAACCAGGCTGTGTTTTCCTTAGTGGAATCCAAGATATGGAATCATGGTAAGAGGAGAAAATAGCAGATATTCTCAGGAATAGATACAATTTGTTATGTTTCTCAGGAGAATTTGGGAAGGGGCCAGGGCAGGATGAGGAAATCGGTAAAGCACCTGTGTTCATAGATAAAGAAATAAAGCAAAGGAAGAGCTGAATGTATATGGATACTTTCCCCCCAGAAAGTTCAGTGGATTATCTGAGAAAGAAGCCAGGAAAAGGGAGACTTCTCACCAGAGGTGGGTGCCTACCTATGTGGATACCTGATGTTAAAGAACATTCAGCCCTCAGCCCTGTTCCATTCACTTATTCCTAAATCAACACATCTCATCTTCCAAAAGTCAGAAACCAAACAACTTTTTGCTATGGACCTGGAAAAGATGAAAGAAAGAATGGATTTTGCCTCAAACTGAGTTCCCTTGCTACCAGTAAAGGCTTACAGAGACAGGGAGGAGTAAGGACTCTAAGAAGAGAAGGTAGCAAAGCAAAGGCATAATCTCATTTTCTCCCCTGCAGTAAGAAAGCAAAAGATCCATTAGATGAGAAAATGTATGTGAAAGCACTTAGCACAGTGCTTGGCAAATAGATTAGATTCAATAATATTGACTTTTTTTGTTTTATCTATGCTCAGTGTAGGGACCCATAAGACAGTTTAGTGTGTAGGAAGACTAACAGGGGTGCCAGTGGGAGTAGGGAAGTGTTCTCTACCTGGATGATAGTGAAAATTTTGCCATTAGAGTTTCTTTCCTTTGACTCTATTTAAAAGCAAATATCAAGTAGAGATAAAACATTATCTGGCAGGCTATATATAGGTAGATAAAGATATACACACACGTATACACATACACACACATATACACATTACATATTTTCTTATAGTCAGTGGTAGAAAGAACATAAACATCATAGATGGGGGATAAGTACAAATTTTCTACTTCTCAAAGCTAGACAAAAACCTGTCAGTCTGAATTGGAATACTATTACTCTTATAACTTCTACTATGTAGAGAAATAATTTTAATGTGTATAAGGTTCTTATAGAGATGAGACAGCAATGTAGAAATCAAGAAACACCAGGTCATTTGCCTCAATAGTGAGGCACTTAATCAGACATGTTAGGAGTGGTAGAAGATCTTATCTGTTGACAATTTAGAAAGTGATAGTTGAGGCCAAAGGAAAACAGAAATCACTAGCACTTTTATGCCTTTAAAGTGCTTAATGGGCAGCTTCTAATTCTATTTATGTATGTTAATACTACCAAAACCTAGAACAGCACTCATAGTACTTGTAAGTGCTCAATAAGTGTTTGTTTAACCAAAACCAAACTAAAAAGCAAAATAAACCAAAACCAAACTGGTACTTGTTAACACCAGTCAACTATGTCCCACACTAGGTTCAGTAAAACTATCAGGTTAATATAAGCTCCAAAAACAAAGTACCCACTTTCTATATTTGTGCAGCGCTATCCCACATGTACTCTCAACAGTTCCCTGAGATATGTAGTCTTTACTGCCTCCATTCACAGGCAAAGGAACTGTGTCACAACAGGTAAAGGGGCTCACTCAGATTCACAAGAAAATTAATATTAGCCTAGAGTCTAAGATTCCTAACTCCCAAATTAATAGACAAAAGGAAAAGACTAAACAACAACAACAGCTTTTGGGGGGTAAAAGAGATTTCCCTTAATATTTTAATAAAGAACTATTACAAACAATAATTGAAAGACAAAGACCCCAACAGAAAAATTGGCAAAGGATACAAACTAACAAATCATAAAAGGAGATCACTGTAGCAATCAAAGAAAGGCTCTGCCTGAAATATGAGTTCGGAGCTCTCTGCTAAGTGGCCTAGACCAGACCTCATAGCCGAGGTAGAAGATAAATGGGCCATTTTCCTTGCCCGAATCCCAAACCGGAATCCTGCTATTTTAACATCCTTCACTGGGAGTGAAGACATTAGAAAGCCAAGAACACTGGCAAGAATGGGTCAGCATTGTCTGGGCTTCATAGATAAATAGAGCCGAGGAGGAGGAAGGCATAGGGCAGCCTCACAGAGCCTGTGGACCTCCTGGCATTCCTTGCATAGGGAATCAAACCTGTCTGGCTCTGTGCAGCCCTTAGAGTCAAGCCACTCAAAGTATGGTTTGCGAGCATCTCCAGGAAACTCACAGAAATGCAGAACCTCTAGTGTCCACTCCAGGCTTCATGGACCAGAATCTGCATTTTAGCAAGCTTCCCAGGTAATATTGATATGCATGCGCAGTGGAGCTCAAGCAACACAGCCCTGGGGATCTGCAGGGTTTCCTTATTGTAGGTGCTCCGTAAATGTCTGCGGATTGAATGAAAGACTGGACAGGGTATCACTGGGGTCCCTTTCTAAAGTAAATTATCTGACTTACCGAAAGCTAGTGACTATCCACGCTGAGTAAAGTACTGACCATCTCACAAAGGGCTTTAATAAGATTAATGAATTAATAACAGCATTCTGGTGTTGGTATTTTCTACAGTGAATCTAGAGTTTCTTATTAATGTCATTTCACTAGGCTCCTTTATATGCCCAGGAGGCACCAACAAGGCACAAATCCTTCTCTATTGCCCTTTCTGAAAAGCACTGAGAATGTAAAATCGGATGAGTAAACATGAGAATGACAAATCTGAAAACGCTGGGGAAAGGGACCCCACCAATGTAGGACGCAGCTCTTTTACCTAATTTTCACAGTGAAGGCAGTCCGTACATTTTCACCTTGTACCAAATGGGCGTGGGCGGGGGGAGGGGTGAAGAGGGAAGGAAGAGAAAGAAGAGACCAAGTATTAAGGACCTTTGTGCTGTCCTATGAGCCTACACAGGCAGTCACCAAATCTGGCCATTTGGGTGCTTCTGAAGCAAGCAACTGTGCACCATCATCATTATTATCATTATCCTCACCATCACTTTTAATCTATCTACCTTCTGTCTGCCAACCTCTTTACTGAGCCGACCATCTTAGTAGTGACCTACACCTTAATGTCAGGATTGGCCACAGACCTTAGGCTGCCAGGAAACCAGTTAAAAGGAGGGAGACAAAAGGGATCCAGAGAATGGAGAAGCATTCTGAGTTCTGCTAATGAGTGAGGTGACTCACAGCTGACTCAGACTAGTGAAGACGAGCCTGGGAGATGGGAGGCGGTGCAGGGCAGACCTCAAAGGAGCTCTGCCGAAATGTTCAAATGGGAGCTGGGAGGCCAGGGACGCGGTGTTATTTAGAGAACTGCCTGCAGCTCTGGTGTTTTGCAGGGAGGAGTGGATCCTGAAAACAGAGAAAATTGCTCTTGAGGCCAGAAACGGAGTTGTGAATCCATAGCCTTCTGTGCTTTGACAAATGTGTAAATTCTGTAGTGACATTGACCTGCTCTTTGGCAAATCTCGGAACATGAACTCAATAGGAATTCATTGACATCAGGTCGCTGGGAAATAGAGGTAAACCATGTACCACCCTTGATTTTTCTAATGCCCTCAATTAGAAAAATGAGCTTTTTTTTTTTTTTTTTTACTTTCTTTAGTATTTTACCTTCGGAGAACATTGTGATCCAACCTGTGCTTATAGATAGATTTTTTTTTTAATTTGAAAACGTACAAGTAAAGCATCTTCTCTTATTAATGGCTAACTGAGGTTCTGAGTTTGAAGATGCTAAGGCCATGTTGTTATGAAGTTTGGTAGCTGCACTGTCCTATATGGACTGAACTGAAATCATATGGACTGAAATGACACACTGTATCTAGGTCCTCTGAAGAGCATGCATTTGTGAGATGGCTGACTGTAGGTATGAACTACTTGGCTGACCTAGCTTGTCTCCCTGTGCTAAGTGACCCACACAGATATTAACCCTGCAACTTCAGCCTCATTAAGACAACGCAAACCAGCCAAGCTGTCTAAAAATAGTTTTGGTTGATTACACATTTGTATGTGATTTGATGACTATGGTCACAAATGTACTTCCCTAGAATGGCACTGTGGCAGTGGAAAAGACAAGGGTTCTTTGGCAGTTTGCCCACCTGTGAAATTTCACTGAGATGAAAAATAAGTTGCTCTAAAAGCAAAAGTGTTTCTCTGTATTTTTCTCTGTATTTTTTTAAATCATGCTTTTTTATTTGACATTGGGTTGTAGAATTTTCCTCTAGCTTTTAGCTAATTCTTTAACATGGTTTCCTATGACAGCTTGATATTCCATTTCATTGGATCCACCCTTTGTTGAACTCGTAAGAATGGTGATATTTATATCATTTGGCGTAGATTGTTACATTTTTCTGAATATTTCATTAGGTTATATTAGCAGAATGAAGTTACTATGTCATAATGTTCTGAACATCTTTGAAGTTTTAATATATTTCCAAATTTTCCTTCAAAAAGGTTTTGCCATCTGATAACTCTTCCAGAAATCTATCAGTGTTCCTACTTCCACATATCTTTGTCAGCACTAGATACTATTTTTCTTTTATCTCCACTCATTTTGAGGATATTTAAAAATGTTTATTTGTTATTGAGATCTCTTTCTATGATTTTAAAGCATGTCTTTTGTAAATTTTTCTATTGAAATATTTGCCTTTTAATTATTGATTTGTAATAGCTCTTATATATCAAGGAAGCATCCTTCTCCTAATTGTTTATTAGACTTTTAACTTTTTTTATAGTGACCACCTTTGTTTTTATCTCTAAAGATAATACCAGTCACAATTAATTTACATGGTTGATGGACAAACCAAATATGAAATTATTTGTGAAAATGCTGTAAAACATAAAGGATTTTTATCACATACTTCCTTCCAGGGTTGATGCTACCCAGAAAGCAAGATCATTGGCCTACAAGTCTAACAGGAATTTGTAGGCAATTAAACTTCTTTTCATGGCTCTGACAGTACCTTACAAAACAAGAAATTAATTTAAATCTTTTGTATCATAGTTACTAGGAATGCTATAAAAATAAACAATGATATCAGATTTAAAGCACTCTGAGACTTTTAGATGGTTCCACATAAAACAAGTTTATTGTTGGATTATTATTCTTTCACTTTCATTTGAAAAATCTAATTAATCCAGTACAGGTGCTTTATAACAGGAAAGGCATTATATTCATCACTGTTGTTACTTCAGGCTCATAAGTTATGCCCTGCTCACCTGCCCAGATAGTCCTTTCCTCAAGCTTTTCTTTACTTGAAAACAAAAAGAGGTCCATCCATGAAAAACTCTTCTCCAGTAGAAAGAAATGGTTTTTTAAATTATATAGTTTTAGAATTAATTAAGTAAGTAAGTAGTTAAACAATATTTAAAGGCATACATGGACAAGTCTTGCTCCCAGGGATACGTCCTTCCTCCCTCTGCCTCCACCCTTCTCCCTATGGTTTCTTTGTATTCTTCCAGTGTTTCTTCAATATATATGTGAGCAGATACAAATAAATATTATCATTACGATTCCTCTTTTCATTCAGAAGAGTAGCATACTATATACATTATTTTGTACTTTGCTTTTTAAAACTAAACAGTATATCTTCAACAGGAGACCTTCAATAGGAAGACATATAATGTAAACAAGAGACATAATGACATTGGCATTAAAAAAGAAAGTTTTAAAACTCCTGTGCCAGTTCTGTCACCATAATCATAGAAACTTAGAATTGGATAGTGTGGTAAAAGCTTTTCGGGTCAGTTATCAAACCTGTTCCTCTTTTTCCTGGGCACAGAACTGCATTTTAAGCCTCCCTTGCAGTTGGGCATGGACATGGGACTGAATTCCACTGGATAGAAAGAATGTGAGCAGAGCTTCTGTGCATCACTTCTGGGTCTAGCCTATAAAAATCTCCCCACACAATCTTCCATATTCTTTCTCTGTCTGTCAGCAGGATGTTAATGCCTAGAGCAACCTCATAAGCCACATGTTGAAGATGGCAGAATTACAAGATGGAAGGGCCTGGTTCCTTGAATGACCACTTGGAAGAGAGGCACCCACCATGAACACCCATTTTGGATGTTTTATGAGTGAGAAATAAATTTCTTATCATGTCTCAGGTTTGATATACAGATTTCATACTACAGTTAGTATTGCCTTAATTAACATAGACCACAAGCTCAAAGTCCCTCTGGTCCAATGACTGGCATATGGCAAGTGCTCAATAAACGTATTTGGATAAATGAGTGAATACTCAAACACCTCTGGAGATAAAGAATTAATCCACTGCCCTATCAGTTTAATACATTTCAATCAGCTAGAATTATTGGAAAATTACTTATATGGAGCTAAAATCCATTATCTTTAACTTGTACTCATTTGTGACTGCCCTTCCCAGTCACTCAAAATAATTCTGAACCCTCTTCAAGGCAGCCCTTCAATTATTTAATAATACTTACTCTTATTCCCTCCATGACAAACCTCTGGTTTCCAAGCTAAATAGTCTAATGTTTTTCATTGTTCTTATTATGTTATAGTTACTAAAACTCTTATCACCATCTTTACCCTCCTCTGGGCATTTTGGTCGGGTTTGTCATTGTTCCCCATTCAATGGGTATTCAGAACAGAACATCATACTCTTGGCAACACTGACCAGCATGGGAGGGTACCAGTTGCCCCTCCCAGTCAGGACTTCATACTTCAATTAATGCAGCTTAATATTTTAACAGTCTTAGAGGTGGTCATATCACCTGTTGACTCATTTTGAGCTTGTGGTCAAACTTCCTACCTCTTCTCTCTCCTCTCCTCTGCCTCCCATATATACCACGATTTATTATATGACCTTAGACAAATCACTTCACCTCTCTAGGACTAATTTCTCATGTGAAAAATGAGGTGATTGAACCAGATGACTTCTGAGTTGTTTCCCCCTGCCCCATTCTAATATTCTTTGAGTCAAAATAAGAAGTTCTAAGAGAGCTCACATTGTACTTTTATGTAGAATCCTTCACCCATAGCAGTATGAGAGTATAAACTGCCTGGAAACATTAAACTCATTGAACAACATGAAACTGGACAGGTAATTTTCCTCAGCTTACATTCACAGATATGTGTATAGTGTGTGGTAAGTTGTATATATACAGGAAGGCCAACTGACTATGCTAAAATGTAGTGGTCAAGGAGGGAAAAAATAAGGCACAGGCAAAAAATAAAAATAATAAAATTAAAAAACAGTGAGGTCATGGGGGGAATCAGGGTGTGGTTTTCTTTGAAGGAACACTCCATCACTTTTTTAATCCAAGGGAGAATAGCCATGAAAAAGAGGATATATATCTCACTCAGCAGAAAGCCTTGTTTGATGTGTTGTCAATTTCCTCATCTCATTTCACACACCATCCAAACATGCCAAAAACAAAACAAAACAAAACAAAAAAAACCCCACACTCAACCAATGGGCAAATAAATGCATTTGCTATGGGGGAAATCAAACCACGTCTCAATAACCCTTGCCCTTGGTAAATTTCTTATAAAGCAGACATCTCCCATGATTTTAGCTGATTAATTTTTCCTGGTATTTCTGCATGCCTGTCCTCCTTCCATCCACAGCTGAGAGGCTGGATCCACTTTCCACCCTAGACTGAGATTCTAGGCATTATTATTTGACCTCTTTTGAAAAACTCATGCAAGCTTTATAACCCGATCTGGGCACACCCCCCATTGGGGCCTGCATTTCCTGTGGATGATGCTTTGGTTTCCTAGGTGACAGTGGGAAGGAATAGACCTGTTAGCTTGTGGCTTCTGACTCACTCTCTGCAATGGACGTCACAGAATCGTGGCTGAACAAGTGGATGCTGATAAAAACATGTGCTTCGGGGAGCAGCAGGGCACTAATGGTTAAGACCATCCCATTGTACCAGGTTTCCCTCCCACTAAGGAGGCCAACAGACAGACAGAAATACCAGATCTGAAAAAAACAAGCAACAGATTTGAAACCTTCTCTGAACTCCCATATTGAAGTGCACAGTGGAGTCCTATTTACCACCCCATTATTTTATTCCTTTCCCTGTTTAGAATTTCCTTTTTTTTTTCCCCTGGAATGTGGAAGTACCGCGATTCTCTAATGAAATGTCAGATGGAGGCTGAAGAATGGGAGGTGGAGACAAGCCAAAAACTCACCAAAAAGCTTGTTTACTGAAAGCTTGTTACCGCTCTTTTTGATCTTTCACATTTGCTCCCTGAGAGGGGACAGGTAACCACAGTGGACTAACCAATTATCAAAGCCCAGGATGAAAAATACATTCTGTTGTGAAATTAATCTTCAGAAAAGGTGGGTTTTGGGGTGCCTGGGTGGCTCAGTCAATTAAGCATCTGTCTTCAGCTCAGGTCATGGTCCCAGAGTCATGGGATGGAGCCCTGCGTCAGACTCCCTGCTCAGTGGGGAGTCTGCTTCTCCCTCTCCCCCTGCTCTTGTGCTCTTCTCTCTCTCTCTCTCTCTCTCACTTGCTCACTCTCTCTCTCAAATAAATAAAATCTTAAAAGAAAAGAAAAGCTGGGTTTCATGAAGCCTAGGGACAAGGACCATACACACACACACACACAGGTGGGGGTGGGGAGAGGGGGAGAGAGAGAGAGAGAGAGAGAGATTAACTTTCTAGTTACCTCTTTTTCTATCAGCTGAACCCAGCAACATACAAGTCAGGGAAGACTGCCTGGAATGAAAAAACACGGAAGAGTTCTTTTGTCCCTTACATCTGAACTACTAAAGACTGAATGGATTCTTTAGATTCTTGAATTCCTTAAATGACCAACAAACCTAAAGGTTCTCTACTGGAGATAATGCATCTTGTTTTCCACAGAGCCTTAAGGGATGCTTTAAATAGCATCAGCAAGCATCCGAATGAATTAGACAGCAAATGTAGGTTAGCTTTATTTAGACAGATAAAGACAAGCAGAGAAAGTTGTCTGGTTCAAGGGCAGTGCAGCCTGACATGACAGCATTTCTCAGAGGAGGGGAAATTGCTTTGGGAGAGAGAGGTATTTTGGGAAAAGAGCAAAGTTCCTTGGATCACCAAGGGAAGAAGCAATGCTAAGTTCTTCAGTACAGAGGAGCAGGAATTAAGAGTGGCCTGCCACTTGTTAAAGGAAAGATCTATAGATTTAAAATGTAAAGCAGAACTTAGCATCCTTAAGTTCATACGTGCATCCCTCTCTTCTCTCTCCCATTCCTTGGGAACACCATCAGAAAGGACATGCTTCCCAGAACAGGAGCTGAGGTAGGGGATTTTTCATACTACTCTGGAGTGGGACTCAGCATCCCCAGCAAGTGCTGCGTCAGGAAATATGTCCAGATGGAGAGCCCCTGGAGATGGGGGAGCCCAGAGAGCAGGGAAACTGGCACAAATGGGGGCAACCACTCATTAGACAAAAACATAGGTGCCTGGAAAAAAGTTACAGTCCATGGATTTGGTTTACTTTTTCTCCCTCTCCCTGCAACCCTTAAATTACCTTCTAAAAACAAATTCCTTATAAAAAGCAGTGGGTCTAGGGGGAAAAAAAAACTTTCTGGTTTCGTTTGCTTTTACTATGATGTTTATGGTATCTTTTCTGTCTAACTTCTTGCTGTTTTCTCCTCAGTTGGCCAAAGCCAAATAACATTTGATGTCAGCTTGTAGCCCCATCAGTAATTTGTTTTAAAAATAAAAAACAATTTCAATCCATTATCAGGTTCCTAAAGTAACACTGAATTTAGACTTGTAAAAATATCTTCAGAAAAATCTAAAAATTTAGATTTGCATAGATTTCCATTTCCTCCAAATCTAATTTTTATATGTTTCCTTTTTTAAGGGTCTCACAACTTTTGAAAATTATACATCTTTGTATGTTGCCAAGGCAGGTATAGCATAGGGGAATATTGTTATAACGCTGTCATGAAGCAAAATTTAAACTCCATTTTGAATTAGGCATTTATGCCACTTTCTTTGTACTTACCATTCATTAATTCATTTCTTTCCTTCCTTCCTTCCTTCCACAATTATTTACTGAAAACCTGGCATAAGCAAACAGGGAGCATCAGACCTATTTGTTCCCTTTCTCCATCACTGGAGGATTCTCTTTCCCTAATCATTTCATCTCCTCTCTGTCTACCCCAAGCCCATTCACTACTTACCTGGTAAACTAGCATATGGACTAATAAATTTATTCAACTGGGAACTACCGTTTTGCACATTCACTAACGCACGCAAAACTTCCCTAATTCACTTCTCCAAACTCAATACACTTTCAGCTATTTGTAAAATTAGCAAACCAGTTAATAATTTTAATTCTAAGAAGGAGATGGGAAACCAATTCCTGTGACTATATTTGTAAAGTAATAGTCAAAAGACTCATATGAGTCTTGATACCATGCTTAGTCCAGGGTTATATTAACTTTTTATAAAACCCCCCTCACCTAAAGTCGATCCCATAAAGTTTTCATCTTTGTAGTTACAAGAATGTAATCAAAAGGAAGACTGCTCTTTTATTCCTTTTTGGTAAAGACGGTAACATTTCTGTTTGAACAGAAATGAAAAAACTTAATATCCCTGGGGGGCATCTGGATGGCTGATTTGGAAGAGCATATGACTCTTGATCTCCGGGTTGTGAGTTTGAGTCCCACGTTGGGGATAGAGATTACTTAAAAATAACTAAATAAAGAAAATTAAAACAAAACAAAACTTAACATCCCTGGGATCTATATTTCTTGCTCTGACATCTTCAATCACTTCACTATCATTAGAGTATTTTTATTAAAATTTCCCAATTTGTACTAATAATGAGACCTTTTAAGTGTTCTTCAATAAGTCAATCTCAGAACTTGTTTTTAATATTTTTTAAGTACTGGAGAAAAGAAACTTGTCTCTGGAGGTAGAAGACAAAATTATAATCCATCACTAACCCAAATAAATGAAGTATGAGGTATGTGACATAAAAAAAAATTATAACCATTTTTTGTTTGTGTTTTTCTGTGTTCTCCCTGTTTGCTACACTAATTTCTGTCATTTTCAGTCGTTTTAATAATGCTCTGAGGAAGAAAATATGTTAATAGTATTTGGCTAGATAAAATAAGAGTCACACGTTTTATTTTTGTTTTGTGACATTTGTGGCTCTTCAGCATGACATTGGCATTCTTCCTCTTCTGATGCAACTTCCTTCTCTGTTTCATTCTGTTTTGGTTGAGGTTATTTCAACCTCCTCCCCGCCCCCGCCCCCCCCCCCACCACCTCTCTGAGCCGTCTTTCGGCTTGTCCATGAGATCCTAAGCTGTCACTTGATTTTCTGAATATCCACTTCTGTTTTCTGTGGCAACACCTGCAGATCAGCATCTAGCCCGCCACCCAGATGGGCACCCCTCCCCCCACTCTGAAATGCACGCACCCGCGGACCCAGGTATGGACGCACATGCGTGCTCAGCTCCTCCACCCTCCCCCGGGGAGCTCAAACAACTCCAGCTGTTTTCTGGTCCCGGCCGCAGGAGCAGCAACAGAGCCTCTCCTGTCAGTTTTCTGATTGGAACCAGCACTAACAATGCTACTGCTACCAAGGAAGGATTTAAGTCGCCTGAGCGGAAGAGAAGACCGCTGGACAGGGGAGAGGTGGTAGAGCCAGATGCTTCAGGTTCCATGAAGCCAACAGAGGTTCGGAAGGAGCCGGAGTTGGGGTTCCTCCACCTGAAGTGTTTTGCCCCATTATTGACAGCCGCATACAGATATTTCAAGACTCAGCTCAAGTAGAACCTCTTTCTGAAGCTTTTCCTGACAGGCTGACCATCCCATCTGTACCTATACAATCCTTGTCTCATTTAGTTACTTATCTGCCCACTACTCCAAACTCATTAGATTCAGCCTTTTATAAAGGCACATACCTTGGCTGATTCATCCTTTATCTTAGTTATCTCGGTACATGGCAGGCATTCAATAAATGTTGGATGGATGAATGGAATTCACTGCTCCCCTTCCATGGGTGAAAGTAGCTTTTGGTGGAGGGGGAAAAGAGCAGTGTCCTAATCGGTGTCTTTTCTCCTCTTTAAAGTTAACCTTGGAAATGAAGAGACCAGTGTAATGGTGTGAGGATGACCCTCCATATGTGAAAATAACTCAACAAAAAACGGGGTGCTGCTCATCATCTTCCCCATCACTGGGATTTCTTCAGGTGTCAAATAGGTAAGTCCGACCCTATTTACAAGATAAGCCTTTGAGAAACTCACGAGTGTGAGAAGAAACTATTGTATCAAGGAAGGTTGTACTACTAACAGGAAAATGTGGCACATATCTATTAAACTGATTAATACAATTCATGTTCCAGAGTTAAATGTTTCAACATTTAAAATGTTTTAACATCGAGGTGCCTGGGTGGCTCAGACGGTTGAACATCCGATTCTTGATCTCAGCTCAGGTCTTGATCTCAGGGCTGTGGGATTGATTCCTGTGTTGGGCTCCATGCTGGGCATGGAGCCTACTAAAAAAAAAAATTAAAAATTAAAAAAATATATTTTAACATCAAGGGATGGTAAGGATAAGACAGAACTGTGTTAGGTTCATAACTTGCATGATCTCATTTTAATTCTCACAAGAACCCTTGGAGATATGATTATCTTCATTTTACAAATGAAGACAATGAGGCTTGGAAAGGAAGCCATCCTGGTACTAATACTCAACAGAGCTTAGATTTGAACTCAAATCTGTCTGGCCCCAAATTCCTTTCTTCACTCCTCCTGGGTCCTCTCAAGAGCTGTTTTAAAAAATATTGGCATCAAGTTTTCAGAGAGGTTGAAAAATAAAGGTTAAATATTTTTGAGCATTGATGATGGGCCACGTACGAGGCAGGGCAGTATGGGGGGATGAATACACCGTTCTCCATTCAAGGAGCTAAGTAGCTAGTGCAGGAAGCTGACCCATGACACAGGCTGACCAACAAACAGCAAAATAAAGGCTGCTGTGATGGGGACAGAAGTGGACTGCTAGAGAACTGAGGGAAGGAGTGGTTTGTTGGGTTGTGCAGGGAGAGCAGGGAAAGCTCACAGAACACAGGAAGGTGGCATTTTGGGAAGACTCTGAGGAGGTTGGGGGAGGGGTCAGCAGGCATTGGGACACTGCAGAGTAAGGGAACATGTCACAGGAGCTGGGTGGAAAGTTCGGTGAGGTCAGTGCATGGCCGGAATAGTGGAAGGTGAAGGCGGGTTGGAGATGGCCCATGGAAGGCTCTGAATAAGAGCCAGAAATTGCAATGGGACAAGTACTGAAGGTTTTTTAATAGAAGGCAAGATCCAATCAAATCCTTGACTAAAACATCCAAAATTATTGCTGAATTCGTCCTGACACCAGATCACAAGTACACGAAGTACACAAAATAGAAAAATATAGAAAATCAATATTCTTAATCAAGACTCAAAACAATGTCCTGCTTACTTCTGAGGAAACACAGCAAATGAAGGGATATATGCCTGAATCACCAGCTCAAACCCGAGCCTCCCTCTTCCTTCCACATTGGCCGAGAGCGATCCCATTCTCATGATTCGTAAGACAGCCTCATCAACCCCAAAACCTGGGGCAACAAATACAATCCCCTCCTCCCTCCAAAGAAAAAATTCCAGCCAGGAAATGACAATTCCTTTCACTTCCTTCCTTTCTTCAGAGGCCAGCCCATGAAGATTGCTTAACTGTTCTCTCGCTGATACACCAGACGAACATCCTAGAGTAGGAATTGGATCCTGATGGCTTAATTGAGTTAAAAAGAAAAGTGTAGATTATCTAAAAGCTTCTCGATGGTTTCAGAGTGGCTCTCACATCTCTGAAAGCCCAGTGGCGGCTCTCAGTTCCTTGGTTAGGGAGGAGCTGAATGAATTTCCTAGCACAGAATTCAAAAGCACTGGAAGTCAGCAGTTCTGAAAGACTGCAGAAAGGGCTTGTTTACATTTTTCTCTTGGGCTGAAACCCATCTATTTAAACTTTAACCAGAGACAATTATAAAACCATGGTTAGCCAGGGATGGCAGGCTGCACAAGATGGGAGACAGATGCCAACAGTCTGGCATTGGAGGAGGAAAGATTGAGAATATTTTGAGGAAAGGGGTCAAAGAAGAGCTACAAAGGAGGTTTGGGAAGCAAAAGGTGTCACCTAGGCTGGTCTTCACGAGAACAGGGAAGGAGGGGTGACGCAAGGGAGTGGGAGGAAACAGGGTGGGCATGGAAGGAAGACCAAAGCTTCGGATGGTGTAGGTGGGGCTGGGGCTGTCACCATCCTGGCAGTTCAAAAAGTCCCACCCAGGCAGCTCCACTGTTTACACCTTTTTTCCCCTCTTGGGTCAAAAGTACATTAGTTCAGGGAGTCAGCACCTCTGAGAGATGCCTGGGGCAGACACACCCAGCCCACCAGGACGCGGGCTCTCTTCCCCGAAGGCCCAGCCTCCTCTTCAATTCAGGTTTTCCTGGCAAAGACCCATTTGGGAGCTGAAGAGCAGTCCAGTGATGTCAGAGGAAATACCCCACTTGACAAAGGACTGTGCTCCAGATTGCCAGTAAACTGAACTCCTTAGCATGCCCTGTTCTGGGTCCTAGGATGTGGTGAGTCCTAAGAACACACTCAAGGAGGGACAGTTGTTGCTGCAAAGTGAATGTTTTTGTTTTGGATTTGAGGATGTCTGTGGACCTGACATTGACATTACGGCCAGTTTTAGGTGCATATACAAATGTGGGGAGATCTACAGGATACCAGCCCCCCAGATCTCTGTGTAAGGGAGCCTGACATTTCACCCTGAAGTACTCAATTGTTTTTGTTTTTTTTAACTTTTTGGTTTTGAATATTCCTATTAAGATGCAAATGCAATATACAGAGGAGAGCCCATGCCTCAGATGTTATCAGCTAATTTCTTAACAGGAATTCACTTTCTACCAGGGCCAGCCAGATTAGAACTAGGGCTCAAGAGGAGGCAGATCCAGGACATGCATTTTAGAGACGGAGAATGGGCAGAGGCCTTGGATTTATGAGTAGGAAGCTGGCAGAGGTCATGAAGAGTCCAGAGACAAATCTCTCTTTACAATGATGAGACCCAGTCCTTCATCATAGGTCAGAGTTTGTGAGGACAGCAGAAAGCCAAACTCATCCTAACTTCCTGTGAAGCTTTCTTCTCTGCTAACCCAGCTTTTACCAGGGAAAGCCATTTGGGGCGCAGCCAGAGGGAGATAGGGAAGGTCAGAGGATCTGCAGATATTCAGGGCCACGGCATAATCTTCCAGGGCAAAGAGGCCAAAGTCATGGGCTCCTCTCCAGACCAGTTTGCAACTCTCACCGGAAGATCTGTCCTATAGCTCTGAACTGCACTCCCAAGTCCAACCAACCATCTAAAAAATTCATGATGCTGTTCACAAGGGTCTGGATGGAGAAGGTGGGGACAGCTCCCTACAAACTCGCCCTGAATGGGGACAGATCCCAGGGTAATATCATTGCTTATGGGGGTTGAGGGAGAGCCTTCATACGAGGTGTGGCATAATGTGACATTTTATCTTTATTAAACATATACTAAAATTTTATTTCTTAAAGTTTGTATGAGTAGAAAGTGCTTTCTGGTGTCCTATCTCCAGAGAGAGAGAGAGAGAGAAGGTCTGGTTCTTATGTCTTCTGCAGAATGGAGCCTGTGAAAACATGATTGCTGGCAGGTATCCCAAGAGCCACACAGGAATTTCAGACGGATACACACATTGCCCAGCTCCTACCGGAGGGTGTGATACCTCGTAGAAGATATTTGATAAAATCAGGCCTGAGATCTCCAAAAGAGATCCTGGAAGACTGTACGTAAACCAGAGAGGCAGCATCATGCTGGTGTCCCCCACTATATGACAGTAGAGCATTCCTACGAATCCTTCCATAAGCTGAAATGGCATGAAGCAAAGAAGCTATTACCATCAATTTATAAAAAATAACCTCTCTTAGGCTGATACCTCAGAACACATCTTGCTAACGGATGCACAAAATAAATCGAGATAAAGCACAGATGTTCACAGACACAGTTCGAAGCTTTGGCGACTTGGTGCCGAGAGGCTCAGTGTAGTTCTCAGGAAAGGAGCTTGGCAGGGCCGCTCTCGCAGCTCAGGGTGCACGCTGCCTCTGTACGTGTGGGCATAACAAATGCTGAACATGTTGGTTTTGCTTTTCACCCCCCTTTTTTTTTTGTAAAAGCAAAAATCCTCTTCGGATTTCTTTTGGTTAGCAAAACCAAGTACTAATGTAGGTCTTTTGGTAAAAGTGAAGTGGTATAATGTATATTTTCAAAAAGCGAGGGTATGATACCCATATGGTGGTTAAAAGCATGGATTCAGGAGCCAGGCTGTCTGGATTCAGATCCTGACTGTACCACTTACTAGCTTTGGGACCTTGAGCAATCACTTAACCTCTCTGGGTCTCAGTTTCCTCCTCCATAAAATCCAGGCAATCGTCATTCCCAGTTCACAGGGTTGTTGTAAGGCTTAAGTGAGTTAACATTTAAAGGGTAACATGAGTTACTATAGAAAAGCACTTCAAATAGTGTCTGTCACAGCAAGAACTATTTAAATATTGCATTTTAAAAGTAACATGATCAAATCTCCAGGCCTGGAAACCTCGCTTGGTTCTATGATTGACCCTGTTTCCAAGAAGGCCTGGGTTGGCTATGGTCTGCACGTAGCCTCCCAGCATACCAGCTTGAGGAGAAAGAAGAAAGATACCCTGATACCTTTCTCCTACAGACTTCTTTTTTTTTTTAAGATTTTATTTATTTATTTATTTATTTGACAGAGAGAGAGGGAACACAAGCAGGGGGAGTGGGAGAGGGAGAAGCAGGTTTCCCACTGAGCAGGGAGCCCGATGTGGGGTTCGATCCCAGGACCCCGGAATCATGACCTGAGCTGAAGGCAGATGCTTAACCGACTGAGCCACCCAGGCGCCCCTCTCCTCCAGACTTCTTCTGCAACATTAGGCAAGGCACTTCTGTTCTACTCTAAAGCCTAGCAACATGCAACATGCATGCCCAGGGCCAAGGCGAAGTCAGAACCAATGGCAGGGAGCTCTGTCCGGTGCCTGGGCCAGAAACAGGGAATTCCTTGGTGCTAATCCCTCTGGCCCTTGGCAGGCTCCATGTCTGTGCTGTAAATAAATACCACACTTACCTGTCCTTCATGGATACCAGGCAC